CTATCCCTCTGTCAAAGGGTAGTAAGATAATTTTCTGCTCTATTAAACTCTTCAGTAACACTCTTAGTCTGTACCTGCAACCCTGATAAGGAATTTCGGCTCAATACGCGCTCAGCTACTTCCTCTGCAGAGTTTCCCCTCATGTTGGCAGTTACCTGCCATGAAATTTATCACGAACCAATTGTTTTTGAAACAAGTGAAATGTTGGGAGGAGATTTTACACACTGTGAATTGACCCAAAGCACACAAATGAGCCTCTAGCCTTTCAAGCATTTCATGTGTTATATCTAGCACATCCTTACGTGTCAATGATTTCCTGCTAGCAACAAGGACCGCCTGTGCAGAAATATTAATCATAATATTTTATGTCCATCAGGTGTTGTACTAATATGTCATAATGAGGGTATGTGACTATGCAAACTTTGGAACTCTACATCCCTTGAAAATTTGCCTGCCCGTCAATATGAGCCGAAAACATGTTTTAAAATGATACTATTAATACTTTATAACATAATACAGTGCAATGTCCCTTTGACTGCATTCTTTCCTCAAAAAAAATGACACTTAATATTTTATAACGATTGTTCTAGTGTTTTTTTAAAATGGGGGCAATAATCTTTGGAAAGTAATGAGGTAAAAGGGCCATTGCACTATATAATGTATTATGTATACTTAAAGGGTTTTGCAAATGATAGTCAAGAACATTTGTTACCCAAACGTGATGGCCTATGAATATCTATTTCTGACATTCACACACATGAAATATTATCAATAGTGTATACATATTTTTCAAAACCTTTTCTCTTCCCCAGTAAATTTAGTCTCAATCAATAACTTTTTGTGTAATAAACACTCCACATTGACAATAGCAGAACTGCAGAACGCGAACACCCATTATCATTAGAGGCTGAAAAATTACCTGACTTTGCAAGATGACTCCACCCGCAATCTCTTTTAGATTGTTCTCTCTCGAAGTTGTTCCATTGCCCACAAGGTCTACAATTGCATCGGCTATCCCCATCTATATTAGGAAGAAGTGAGGAAATGATAACAGCAACAACAACCTACCCAGTGTTGTCCCATACATTAGGGAACCATGATAGATCTTAAAAAAACTTTTACATACTCAAAAGAAATTGAAAGTGTGATTGTATTTGAAGATCACCAAAAGAAATGCTGGAAAAGAACAAATGTGATAAAACTTCTAAGAGCAAACCATAGCATTTAAAATAGAAGGACATATTTCTTTGATGCAACAAATATAGGAAAAACAAACATGACTCTCTGGTGAATCATAGCATCAAGAGCAGTAATCGATTTGTGAAAAAGAGAAGAAGTATTTCATTTATATACGTAGTACAATACAAACAGTCAATCTTAATAAGACGGGACTTAAGAAAACTAACAGTCAATCTCAATAAGACGGGACTTAAGAAAACTGAACCTTTTTAAAATAGGTAAATTTGGTCTTACTGCTGGAGCAGCCTTCGGTGCTCCATCTGCAGTTGAAAAGGTAACATGATTTAGTCCTTTTTCATTCGTAAACTTGGGCCCGTCATGTGAAAGAAATGGAGGATGTTAAGGGAAAAATATCATCAAACATAAAAATAATAATTGTGACCACAATAATATATACTCCGTATCTGGGAAAACGTAGATGAATATGTCACATTGCAGTACACCATGCATATGTGAAATCCGTAGCAACTATCAAGGGTCTCTCAGGTGTTCAATGTGGCATTTCTGCTAGCTCCTTCAATGAGTTCACATTCTCAAAAATTCCATACTTTGGTATCTGCACATACGCACATGTATTCCGAGTCGCACGTCATTATTATTGGAAGAATACTAATGGTGATAGGAATGCACCTAACATGACACAATTTGAATGTTTTGCTATAAAGAGCTCATTGTTACTCACTGTTTGAGATAATCGACAATTTCCATATTCTCGAGGATCATGAACTATAATGAGATCTTCATTCCGCTTCCAAGAAGATGTCAAACAGTCTGCAAAAATCATAATGGCTCTACTAAATAATAGAGCATGAAGTCGAATTGACTCAAAAAGAAATCATAAACATCAGTTTGCTGTTGTACTCCATTCACCTCGACAAATACAAAAGAAAGGCAGATAAACTAGTGACTACACTAAACAAAGAAATCTACAAGTGTGTGACTCTGCAGACAGAACGGGTGTGATAAAAATCACAAATTATAAATCGGACAATACAGCAGGCTACAAGAGAACTATCATTTCCGAAATATTAATTTGCTTGATCCCAATACAGCATGAAACTACACTTATTTAGGGAAAAGATAACTCATGTCATTATCGACAAGAGTTCTAACTTGGACAAAAGAATTGCAATAAGCAAACCTTTTAACAAGAAAACTCTTCCATTATAGTGGCTATCTAGGAACAAGGGTCTTTAGAAGTCTTTTGCTGCACTTTGACTTTGCTCTTCAATGCTGCAGTTTTGTGACTTTTGTCTTTGTTTATAGCATCCTTTGTTTTTAATTTATGCACACAACAATATCTTGTGCTGCACATTGACTTTGCACTTCAAAACTTTCATCTCCTACCCACCCTAGAGTCAATATCTACATGAGTGTTGTACATTCTTACAATTTATATGCCCCTTCAAGGTCATCTAGATCTTAATCATAACTACAATGTGTTCATGAATCAACTATGGAAAAGACTCTAGCCAAATGTATTTCATTTTGAATTGTAAAATCTTGTTGTCTAGATTTTGAGAATTTTCAGTTCGCAAAGCACAACCATGAAAGTTAGATGCTAGTAAACCACAATAACTCAAAAGAATATGTAAATTTAAGCAAATACACAAATATAGATTAAAAACAAGCATAGCACGCACCTCAAAGTACGATCCAAACGGGATGCCAAGGACCTGTTGTAAAGCTTCGAACATCTGGAATAGGGAAATACTGAAATAAGTGAAAAACAAAACAAGTGTAGAATTGTATTATCGGAAACACCCAACATTATTGAGTGTTCATGAAAAGATTATGATAAGAGAAACTACCACGGTTTTTTAATGTCATGAGAGAACATGTTAAGTGTCTGTTGAAATACCTGTTCATAACCTTCATATTCAGAATTCAATTTGACTTTTTTTATTCAAATTGAAAAGGAAAAATGGGGTTCAGAGGATTTCCTCAAAAGGGTAGGCTACGCCCAAACCCATGGTTACATTTGGATCCCTCTCGCTCTGTAATATATACCTCGTACGTGCGCGCAGAGTATATACATAAGTAAAGCAAAACCTAGTTCATCACTCGAACTATGGCCGCAATAATGTTTGGACAAATTAAATCAAAACAATGCTAACACTTAACTCTAAAATAACTGTTGATATTCTTAAAGAGGTTGTTGTTTTTGTTGTTGTTATTATTATTATTATTATTTATTATCAAATATTATTTACATCTTAGCTTTCTTCTAGCACATATTATGTTTAGACCGACCATGGTGTCCATAACCATTTAATGCGTCATGTGATCATACTCCTTTCTCTTTAAGCATCAAACTTTTCATCATCGAGAATTCTCACTTCTTCTCACCACGTGGTCCACAAACTTTTTTATTACAATAGTCTTAGCCAATGTAGGAATTTGGTTCATCATCGAGAATTCTCATATCTACTATTTATTCTTAACATAAGAGTATGTTCATACCATTTCTTAAGGGATTCAAATGTTGTATGAGCAGGGTCCACTTCAAAAATTGCATCAAATCGAGAAGACAGAGAAACACCTGTTACAAATCCAAATCAACTTATTGTCGGTTCATTCAATAATTCTTTTTCTATGCATATAAACTTTGCTAAATAATATATTACCATTAAAGGCAGTAAAATTAACCCTTTTTACAATAATTATTTGGAAATGCCTAGTTTCTAAGAGGGACGTGATTTCCTTCCCTTGGTTCGTTGCAAACTCTTCCCACAGTGTAAGCAGCATAAGCTTCATTCTATTCAAGCAATCATTCAAAATGTTATTTCTGTGTATCTTTAAATATTTTTTCATGCGGATTACTTACTCCTCATTAAAAATGGTGAAATCATGTGCTATTTTTTCCTGTGAATCCAACTAAGATATACTCTCTTGGTATTTTTCTATGACAACGGCCATGAAATTTGTATATAAAAGTACAGATCTGATGCAAAGTGGTAGTAAACAACTGTATATCTATATAAGCAAAAAGAAATGAAATGACTTACTTATGGGGTTTTACTTGCACTAATGACGTAAAACTCATTAAATGGTGACAGCATCTCTTTTACCTCATCTGGTATTTTAATCTGTTCAAAATCTGGAACTGGGTCAATATATGTCTGTCTACTAATCATCCAGATGTATTTATAGTGGGGAGATGGTGATGGGACAATGCATTTAGTCGGCATCATAGCAGCATTTGTTATTTTATATATTTTATGGATATCCAATACTCGATTAACTTGATCAATGTCTCCACTATTCACCATAGTGAGAACCTTCGTGCCCTATTATTTTAAAATAAATACATCAAATTAACATAATCAAAAGCCTGGTTTTGTAATATTCTATGTTTAGTTCATTTATGATATAAAAACACTTACTTCATGATCTTGCAATACATAAGGTCTATACTTATTTGGACTGGACCTCGAGTCTCTAATGTTCCGCTTCTCAACAACTCTAACTTTGCATGTCTATTCACCTTTGTTATCTTTAATATGGCTAATCATTTGCACTGTTGTCATCCCTGTAATTTTATTTTAAAATAAACGGTATAGTAACACAAGAAGACATTGTTTGATAAAATTCATTTATTCAAATTCAGTAAAACAAATCCCTCATTTGTAGTCAACACCACATGGGACTGAACTGCTTTGGATTGGAACCATATTATTTTAAAAAAGTGTATTAAACACCTCATTTTTAGTAAAAAACACTCTTGGTCAAGTCAGACCGTGATGAGAGTCATGCTTTGTGTGAAATTTTAGAAATTTCCTAAAATGACAAATATTTTGGGACAAGAAGGATTAAAAGGGTGGAATCTTTGCCAAATTATAAAATGAGTGCATGTGTGTGACTTTATATCTTTTACAAGAATATAATGATATATGGTACATGAATCTCACCTCCCGCAGCTGCTGCACAGACTCATAAATGCCTTCTTCGGTACACATATGACTATTGCATAGTAATCTGCAGTTACTTGGCCATTTCGTTTGCAAAATACTGGACTTACTACGGGCCCCTACATTGATTTATATGAACAGGGCATGCCTAAGTTAGTCAGGAATTGAGTAGCGAATAGTTTATGGAGTGTGATTACTATCCCTCTGTCAAAGGGTAGTAAGATAATTTTCTGCTCTATTAAACTCTTCAGTAACACTCTTAGTCTGTACCTGCAACCCTGATAAATAATTTCGGCTCAATACGCGCTCAGCTACTTCCTTTGCAGAGTTTCCCCTCATGTTGGCAGTTACCTGCCATGAAATTTATCACGAACCAATTGTTTTTGAAACAAGTGAAATGTTGGGAGGAGAATTTACACACTGTGAATTGACCCAAAGCACACAAATGAGCCTCTAGCCTTTCAAGCATTTCATGTGTTATATCTAGCACATCCTTACGTGTCAATGATTTCCTGCTAGCAACAAGGACCGCCTGTGCAGAAATATTAATCATAATATTTTATGTCCATCAGGTGTTGTACTAATATGTCATAATGAGGGTATGTGACTATGCAAACTTTGGAACTCTACATCCCTTGAAAATGTGCCTGCCNAAGCATTTCATGTGTTATATCTAGCACATCCTTACGTGTCAATGATTTCCTGCTAGCAACAAGGACCGCCTGTGCAGAAATATTAATCATAATATTTTATGTCCATCAGGTGTTGTACTAATATGTCATAATGAGGGTATGTGACTATGCAAACTTTGGAACTCTACATCCCTTGAAAATGTGCCTGCCCGTCAATATGAGCCGAAAAAATGTTTTAAAATGATACTATTAATATTTTATAACATAATACAGTGCAATGTCCCTTTGACTGCATTCTTTCCTCAAACAAAATGACACTTAATATTTTATAACGATTGTTCCAGTGTTTTATAAGGGGGGCAATAATCTTTGGAAAGTAATGAGGTCAAAAGGCCATTCCACTATATAATGTATTATGTATACTTAAAGGGTTTTGCAAATGATAGTCAGGAACATTTGTTACCCAAACGTGATGGCCTATGAATATCTATTTCTGGCATTCACACACATGAAATATTATCAATAGTGTATACATATTGTTCAAAACCTTTTCTCTTCCCCAGTAAATTTAGTCTCAATCAATAACTTTTTGTATAATAAACACTCCACATTGACAATAGCAGAACTGCAGAACGCGAAAACCCATTAGCATTAGAGGCTGAAAAATTACCTGACTTTGCAAGATGACTCCACCCGCAATCTCTTTTAGATTGTTCTCTCTCGAAGTTGTTCCACTGCCCACAAGGTCTACAATTGCATCGGCTATCCCCATCTATATTAGGAAGAAGTGAGGTAATGATAACAGCAACAACAACCTACCCAGTGTTGTCCCATACATTAGGGAACCATGATAGATCTTAAAAAAACTTTTACATACTCAGAAGAAATTGAAAGTGCGATTGTATTTGAAGATCACCAAAAGAAATACTGGAAAAGAACAAATGTGATAAAACTTCTAAGAGCAAACCATAACATCTAAAATAGAACGACATATTTCTTTGATGCAACAAATATAGGAAAAACAAACATGACTCTCTGCTGAGTCATAGCATCAAGAGCAGTAATCGATTTGTGAAAAAGAGAAGAAGTATTTCATTTATATATGTAGTACAATACAAACAGTCAATCTTAAAAAGACGGTACTTAAGAAAACTAACAGTCAATCTCAATAAGACGGGACTTAAGAAAACTGAATCTGTTTAAAATAGGTAAATTTGGTCTTACAGCTGGAGCAGCCTTCGGTGCTCCATCTGCAGTTGAAAAGGTAACATGATTTAGTCCTTTTTCATTCGTAAACTTGGGCCCGTCATGTGAAAGAAATGGAGGATGTTAAGGGAAAAATATCATCAAACTTAAAAATAATAATTGTGACCACAATAATATATACTCCGTATCTTGGAAAAAGAAGATGAATATGTCACATTGCAGTACACCATGCATATGTGAAATCCGTAGCTACTATCAAGGGTCTCTCAGGTGCTCAATGTGGCATTTCTGCTAGCTCCTTCAATGAGTTCATATTCTCGAAAATTCCATACTTTGGTATCTGCAGATACGCACATGTATTCCCAATCGCACGTCATTATTATTGGAAGAATACTAATGGTGATATGAATGCACCTAACATGACACAATTTGAATGTTTTGCTATAAAGAGCTCATTGTTACTCACTGTTTGAGATAATCGACAATTTCCATATTCTCGAGGATCTTGAACTATAATGAGATCTTCATTCCCCTTCCAAGAAGATGTCAAACAGTCTGCAAAAATCATAATGGTTCTACTAAATAACAGAGCATGAAGTCGAATTGACTCAAAAAGAAATCATAAACATCAGTTTGCTGTTGTACTCCATTCACCTGGACAAATACAAAAGAAAGGAAGATAAATTAGTGACTACACTAAGCAAAGAAATCTACAAGTGTGTGAGAACGGGTGTGATAAAAATCACAAATTATAAATCGGACAATACAGCAGGCTACAAGAGAACTATCATTTCCCAAATATTAATTTTCTTGATCCCGATCCAGCATGAAACTACACTTATTTAGGGAAAAGATAACTCATGTCATTATCGACAAGAGTTCTAACTTGGACCAAAGAATTGCAATAAGCAAACCTTTTAACAAGAAAACTCTTCCATTATAGTGGCTATCTAGGAACTAGGGTCTTTAGAAGTCTTTTGCTGCACTTTGACTTTGCTCTTCAATGCTGCAGTTTTGTGACTTTTGTCTTTGTTTATAGCATCCTTTGTTTTTAATTTATGCACACAACAATATCTTGTGCTGCACTTTGACTTTGCACTTCAAAACTTTAATCTCCTACCCACCCTACAGTCAATATCTACATGTGTGTTGTACATTCTTACAATTTATATGCCCCTTCAAGGTCATCTAGATCTTAATCTTAACTACAATGTGTTCATGAATCAACTATGGAAAAGACTCTGGCCAAAGGTATTTCATTTTGAATTGTAAAATCTTGTTGTCTAGATTTTGAGAATTTTCAGTTCGCAAAGCACAATCATGAAAGTAAGATGCTAGTAAACCACAATAACTCAAAAGAATATATAAATTTAAGCAAATACACAAATAGAGATTAAAAACAAGCATAACACGCACCTCAAAGTACATCCAAACGGTATGCTAAGGACCTGTTGTACAGCTTCGAACATCTGGAATAGGGAAATACTAAAATAAGTGAAAAACAAAATAAGTGTAGAATTGTATTATTGGAAACACACAACATTATTGAGTGTACATGAAAAGATTATGATAAGAGAAACTACCACGGTTTTTTAATGTCATGAGAGAACATGTTAAGTCCGATCCCGCTCACTTAACTTTGTATTTGAATTTTAATTTATATAATTTTCATGAATAAACATTTATAAATTTGTCTGATCCCTACAAGGCTACAAGATACCTTTCTACTTACTTTTCAAAATGATGGTGATGAAAACCCCTCACAAATAGAACAAAACAAATTTTCAAAGCAATAAATATTTAGAACTGGATCAGGTCTATGCAAAAAGCATGTAAAATAGAAGTTCAACTTTAAGGTATTGTATGCTCTATATCTTCACACCTAAAAAATGAGTTCCACAATTGCCTATGGTAATTGTTATCTGAGACTTTAGGAATATACATAAACAATTCTATAATATGCAGTTTGCTACTCTAATTCACTCTGACAAAATTTGATCTCCCTATTCTTGTGGATTTCATACATATGGATAATTATTGGAACTATAAATTTATATAATTTTAAAAATTATACTAATATTGACTTCCATGACATAATAAAATACTTTTAAACACAATCCAAATTTTTAAAAATTAATTTAAAGAAAAGTTGCCTACTAAAGAACATGATTGTTAAGCCCTAATGGCATGATAAAGCTTATTTAAATTCAGGAAGAACAAAAAAATGGTATTCAAACATTTCACATACCTCGAAGGAGATGTGCTAAGTTGGTGCGTCAACCCAATGTGTATGAAAGTTATTTGCTTCCCTTATGAAAACCATAATAAAAAGCACATTTGAAAAATAAAAGATGAATAAAACCTATGCACAATAGTCAATACTTCCTCGTATGACACTACATTTGTTAACCTTTCATGGAATGAGTTTTATGGGTATCTCACCGCTGTGGTTCACGGATTCAGTTTTATTAATCTGTCTAAAAACCATTTTAAACTGCCTCCAAAATGTGAAAAATCAAAGGGGTGGGAATGAATGTGGTTCGTTCTACAAGGCAAGGGGGCTGGTGTTTGATTGTGGGCAGCCAAATGCCACCCAACCTCCTCCTCCTCTTCCTCCAAGACACAATAATAGCCACAGAAAAACAAAATTAAGATTAAGGTCGTGATGGAAATATTATATCACACTCTCTAACCCCCTAACTTGACTGGTTCCCTTGACATTGGGAATCAATGTCATGGGATGACCCGGAGGTTTTCGGGTTCCCCGCTCATAAAATTGACGGTTCCTACCCCCCTAACCCCCTGATAAACCCTCTCACTCGCCCCGACATGAACACACACCCCCCACCCCCTTCAATTGCAGCCCCAAGTTAATTTTGACTTTGAAGGGGATGGGGTTTACCAGGGGGTTAGGCGGTAGGAACCGTCAATTTTACGAACGGGACACTCGAGCACCTCCGGGTCATCCCACGACATTGATTCCCAATGTCCTTGGAACCGGCCCGTTATATGTAATCTAATAACTTAGGTGATAGAGATTGAGCCTAGAGCTCCTAAGCCAGCCACAGAAATACTCCTATAGATATAAAATGCTGGGTTATTTTCCCTCCAGTCTTTTTAAACCATAAATAAATACTTTTCATTAAATGATAAGAAAATAGGTTATGGTGCTGACCACATGAAGCTTGGTAAAATTTTTTATTCAATAAATAAGTTATTACTTCAAAGTTGGGAGCTTAAAATTTTGAGAAATGGTTGAATAATCCAAGTATAAATTCCTCTAATTTTTAAACTTATACTGACTACCAGAACAAAATATATTTTAACACAATATCTTAAAAATCAATTTAAAGGAAGGAAAATGACTACTGAGAACACAGCAGCATGATTGCTAAACCCTAATAATATGTGAGTATGCTGGATTTACAGCATGGAAAACTTAATGAAATTTAGGAAAATGCCAGAAAAATGATATTCAAACATTTCACAAACACCTGCAAGCAGATGTGCTAATTTAGTGCACCAACCCACTGTGTACATGGCCTATAAATAGGTGGCGTGGCTAAATATTAGAATTGAGGAAGGGAAAATGGAGGATTCAAAATTTCTAATTAAATACTAAAATTACATTCGTATTACCTTCTTAAAACTGAAACAGTTAGAGAATTGCAAGATACATGCCGTGAAATCTGCAATCTCAGCTTCACAGTATGCCAATCTTAGACGAGGAGCTGCGGCAAGGAGGAAGACATCCGATATAATAACCACATCCATTGCAGATCGCAACAATATTGAACAGAAGAATAATTTATGACTTCACAAATTTTAGAGAATCACCTGAAATCCATCTCGACGGAGAGAGGGTGAAATCTCTCCAATTCCAATACACACATGAAACTGTGCATACGTTATTATCAAAAAGAAAGTAAATTAAAGGCTTTAAATGAGTACGCATTTAAGGGGGTATTAATTCATAAGGAGGAGAATCAATTTTGGCGCAAGATTGGATGGCGAGCAACGATGTAATGCCAAGAATTGAAATATTTAACGGTGTACCAGCTCCAATGCACAAAGTACAACATTTATGGATGGAAAAGGTTTTTTTATTATTTACTTTAAAACTTCATAATCCATAAAAAAAATAGTTATAAAAGTAAATAGTGTGATTACACCATAAATTTATATCTAGCTAGCTTGCTATTGGTTGGGGTTTCCACCTCTTCCATCTTTTGAAAGATGAATAATTATTTTTATTAGGTACAATAGTACATTAAGAGTTAAACTATTAAATAATAATCCTATTTTAGTTTGCTTGATATAGATTTTCCTAACAATTCTTTTCATTATCTAGCAATTTTAGAGATCCAACATCTAATTTGGGATGAGGGGGTAAGTACAGTCAAGTTTTATTGGGGAAACAAGGAAAACCAAGCCATATAAACTCATGCACCGTGCAGTTATAATTATTTACCATAATTTACAATTGCTAATATCTACCTTTACGAGATGGACTTCATTAGAGCATCACTAATGGGAGAGAATATGGAGGGGAATATCCTATGTGGTAAGGAGGAATGGTTAGAGAAGGTAGGAGAAAGTGAAGAGGGTGTGGTGTGGAGGGGAATAATATGCATCTAGAGAAACAAAAAGGGTGGATTTTATATGATTTGAAACTAAACAATTCTAAAACTAAACAATTCTAAATGCAAGGAATAGGGCAACATCCTGGACTCGTGTATCATACAAAGTCAAATATAATAGTACAACGTTTGTGCATAAAAGCACTGAAGGATCATACACTAGCATGCAAAATCAGCAAAAGGGGTAGGAAATTTTTCAATACATCGGTTTTCCAAATTCAACACCAATGAATCAAAATCAGATTGCAAAATCAAAATATATTCTTCTAAATTCAAATTTTAGTAACAACTCCAACAAGAGTTCATATTTTAGGCTTAGAAGCACTTAAGGAACAAAAAACATGTTAATCATCAAAAGAATGTAGTTTTTTAAACAATAAGCATAGATCAGAACTAAAAGGAGAACTTTGGCGCCCCACATGTTCCATAGGGCGGTCATTCAACATTTGACGGCAATAGCACCAATGTGCTTTGATTGGCTGGTCATGACTTGAGGGAGGCCTCAATGATTCCATTGGAATAAAAACGATATTGCAACTCATACTGATTTGTTTACCTACACACATAAACTTATTCCCCAAATCCCCTGCAAAATTACCAACTCTAATCATGAGCTATTGGTACAACGGAAAATAGAGTGGGGTGGGGAGCTGTGTGACTCATCTACAGTGGAGGGAGGTTGTTGGGGATGAAGACGAGGGATTAATGTTGGATTCAACAGAGTATTACATTCCCCTCTCTGAAATAAGTACAGGCGTTACAGGTGAAAAAGGGCGACAAAGTATATGTTAGGGAAACAAAGAATAATGACAATGAGGGCAAAATTGACCAAAAAGCTGAAGGTACCATTCTGATAGCGTGAGGAACTACTTTGTTTAACGTAAAAAGTGCATCATTCTAGAGGGTACCAAACCATCTTTCACATTTATAATAGATAGAAAGATTTATCCATGAGACTTTTAAACAACCTATTTAGATAGAAAGAGAACATTGACACTGAAAATTCCCAAAAAGGCTTAAGTTGCCATAATGCCATGACCTAGGTGAATGACCTGAGGGTGGGCTGGGTTGTGAAACCTAGAATAAACACCATCTTAGGAAAAATAAATCAAAATCTTTAAATGAAGCCTAAAACCTGTATCAAGTACTTCAAATAGTAAATTTATGTTATTTTTCATTAACTATGTAGTTGAAGATTCTAAATCTATACCATATTTTACATAAAAGGAAGAGGGATTAGATGGTTTGTTGTTGTCAAAGATGGTTTTCCATGCATGGTAGAGATGCAAGATTTTAGGCATGAATATAAGAAAAGTCATTCACTCACTCTCACTTACCTGCAGAGTCAGTGTGTAATCATATTGGATGTAATTTTTCTTTTAGTGTTTAAAAGAGTGGTGAGTGGGAATTTCAACCTTCACATAACATTTATATAGATTGTATCTCCATTAAATATCACTAAAAATAAGAACACAACTACCAAATTAGTAATCAAAAGTTAAACAAAATAGAATAGTACCGCCCCCAAATTAGAAGTTGAAAAACAAACCTTTGGCCAAAGCAACAATGAAAGACAACACTTGCGTCAAGAAAAGAGGCTTCAGAATCATTGTTCATCTATTACTAACAGTTCGGGGCATGTGGTTGAGGGCAAAACTGAAATGGCTAACACCATGTTAGAGTACTTCCAATCTTGTATGAGGAACACTGCCTGGAATGATAATATTAGAGACGCCATTGTAAACAATAGTAAGGTGTTATCTGTTGAACATCATCTGGATCTCATTGCTCCCATTCAACCTAATCTGATCAAGAAACACATTTTTTTTAATCCCTGATTGCAAAAGCCATGGACTTAATGATTAGTCCACCTTTTTGTTAGAAGGCATGTCAGAAGATCTCAAATAATTAATCATGGGGGAACTGTATTATTTCAATGCACTCATAGATGGAGTTATAGAAGTTTAAATGCTCATGGATTTTGAAATTGTTTTCTGGAAACTATTTTGATTAATAAGGTTATACACCTCGTTGCAAAACAATAGCGCTCCTACAGTTCTTTCTTGTGAACAATCCTATTATCATAATATCATGTTCTTGAACATGTGAATGTACCTGTGCATTTTTGTGAGGTGATAAATGGAGAACCAACACAAGGCTATTGAAACGGAGAATGATAGGTTTTGGCTTACGACAGGTTGACTGCTGCTTTGTATTTTGGCATTAGTATTTGAATTTGGCTCAGATTCAACCTTGTTTTGAAAAAGGTTTCATAGAGGAAATTTGTTTTTTTGGATTTGAATAAAACCCCAAAGAAATTGAGGTTATTTTTCTCAAGAAAATTCATTTTACAAATCTATGAAAACATCTAGAGATTTCAATGGATTTGGTTGTAAACGGCTGATTTGTGCAATGATAAAAAAAAAGCCAACTGACTTGCAATCGGCGGTGGACTGAAACATACGTTCGTCGGCAGGGATGGTGGACGGGGATGGAGACGGGGAAGAAGAAGAAGGGGAAATTGAAGAAAGAGGAGAAACGGGCGTCCAGGACGGGCAGCAATGGAACGCATCGGACCCCCACGCCGCAGCCGGCGTCCAGGATTCGGTCGCCGGCCTTCAACTCCGAGCAGATCGCGATGGGATTTCCCCTGGATGGAGGGGGAGAAGTGGAAGGATTGGCCCCAACCCCACTCGTAAATGTCCGTGACGAGGTTGTAGAAGGTGTCGACGAAAGGGGGGACCTTGTCGGCGGTCTCGATCTCCTTGGGCGTCGGAAAAAGGATCAGTACATTATCCATGTTGATGGAGCCGGCGGAGATAGGAGGAACGGAGGAGAGATGAGGAAGATGGAAAAGGAGAAAGAAAAAGAAAGAAAAAAAGAAAGAAGGAGAAAGGAGAAGAAGGGACGCAGGAGAAATTCCCCCAACCGGACAATTTTATGTAATAAATTCCTCGCATGGAAAATCGAATGTAACACATTCGAATTTACTGACCCTTACTTTTCGTATGTAGCCCATTCGAATTTGTTGTTCTGCACTGTGCCCATTTAATCTTTAGACGCTAGCTTCTCAAAGCAGCTATTGTTCAATTTTTAGATGATTTTCATTTTTTAAATTTTTTTTCCTACATGATCTATTTTACTTCTAACTTTTTATACACAAATAATTACTCCGGGGTATTTGATAAAAATTAGTCCAGTTTATTATGTTTCATTTAGATCTATTAAATGAGACCAATATTGCATATAAAATTTTGAGTAATTCTATAAAAGGTCCCCAGTTATAGGTCATTTTACATATTTAGTTCCTACATATCAAATATTACTAATTTAGGGCCTGTTCTTTAGGACTGTAAAAAAAGAGCTGGATGTTGGAAGAAACTGGAAAAAACTGGAAGAAACTGGAAAAAACTGGAAGAAACTGGAAGAATTGGAAGGAACTGGAAAAAACTAGAAGGAACTGGAAAAAACTGCAAAAAACTAGAAGGAACTGGAAGAAACTGGAAAAAACTGGAAGGAACTGGAAGAAACTAGAAAACCTAAAAAAAACTTTAAAAAAATTTATTTTAAATTCTTGTTGTTATAAATTATTATTATTATTATTATTATTATTATTATTATTATTATTATTATTATTACTATTATTATTATCATCATCATCATCATCATCATCATAATCATCATCATCATAATAATCATCATCATCATCAAGTTATCTTAGTGAATGTCTTTAAGATATAAAAAAAGTATTGTTATTTTTTAAATACAAAAAAACTACTTTTACAAAAAATAATTATAATATAAAGTTTGCATAAATATAAAAATATTAAATTTTAAAAAGACTGTGTAGTTATATGCCCCTCAATTTATTTATGCACTATTTATTATAAATAATATATTTGTAATTATAATTTATATATTAAAAGATTTTGTTCTAAATATCATACATGTCACATAATTAAACCTATTATTTCTTTCATGATTGATATTTTATTTTCATTGAATTTTTATTTTTGGAATAAAGACATAAAACTTTTTTGTTTACATTTTTTATGTTTTACTCATATTTTAGTCTTTTTCTCTAAGCCCTTTTGACTTACAATTTTTTTATATAAAAATTAGAAAAATGAGCAATTTTTAAGTAATAAAGGAAAAACTGAGATCTCTTATAAAAAGTTATATTAATAAAACATTCAATGTAACTATCTTATCCATAATTTTTTAGTACTCCGTATAATTTAACATATTAATGTTTTCCTGTTTTATCAT